TCCTTCGGTCTGCAGGTGCAGCAAGTGCGCATAGTGACGCGCATGGTTATCGCAACTCTGCACGACGGAGTGGTGGCGGACCCTCGTGGATGGCAAAAGCGTCAACTGTACGCGATGGTGGCATCGCTCCAGAACACAGATACTTCAAGTTTTCACCCGACAAGATCGTCGTGCCGAAACTGCTTGAAGGGCGTCACGACTTGACAACGTGGGTCGAGTCCATTGAGCCGCAGTTGGAGATCGCGCAACTGAAGAAGTTTGTTGACGGAACGGTGGAGGTGCCGCCTGAGGATGACGCTGAACGGCGCGCACAGTTTCATTCTACAGAGTTGTTGACGTTTATGGTCATCTCAAGGTGTTGCTCGCCGGTCGTCCAAGTTGCATTGAAGCCATGCCGTCTTCGGGTGGACGCAGTTTTCCAAGCTTGGCAATTCACAATGAAAACCTACAAGGCAACGAATGACCTTTACATCGGCCAGTTGGAGCAACGGTTGACAAATCTGGAGATGGGGGAGCACGAAAGCGCAACCGCATACTGCAACCGCGCACAACAAATTCTTGCAGATCTGCGCATGGCCGGTGTCGACTACGCAATGTCCTCGTACGTTACGCAGGTCATCAAAGGTCTACCTGCAAGCTACAATCTCCTGCGTCGCATGGTGAAACTCCCGGGTGTACGCGAAGAGCTCGATGAGGATACGTTTTCCTGCTACATCATTGAGGAGGAGTTCACCCTTGAATCCGAGCGGCGCAAGGATCAGTTTCTCCCTCAAGTCAACTATGTCGCGTCGAAGCAGCAGCGGCAGCAACAGAAGTGGGGGAAATCGTGCGGAGGAGGCGACAATGACAAACAAGTCAACCGCGCGAAGACGATCAAGTGCGACGAGCGTTCCGGTGGCGGAAAGTGCAACTCGCAACGATACTTTTTCGTTTGCGGAGATCCCGAGCACTTTGCAAACCAGTGCCCCAACCGTGTCAACCGGGAGGACAACCAGCACTCTGATTCCGAGGACGAGCAGCCGTCGGATGCGGGAACCTCCCGTAGAAAGGGTGTGAAGGACGCCCCGAGTGACGATGTGGACCAAAAAGGGCAAGCGTCGTGTTCGATGGCCGTCGTGGAGACGGACGCATCGGCGGAACCAACCATTTCCATGGCTCCGGAAGCTAGCGAGGACTTCCAGGTGGTAGCTGCAGGGGTGCAAGCAAATCCGACCGTGGTGCTCCTCGACTATGGCTGTTCTCATCACCTCATCGGGACGCGTGAAGCATTTGTGGATATGAATGCGGGAGGCGACGTTCACCATGTGCGTGGATTCAGTGGAGCTATTCAGCCTGTCCAAGATCACGGCACAATTTCTCTTCAAGGGGCAGCTGGCACAAAGGTTCTCATCCCCGATGTGCTGTATGTGCCTGGTGTACAGGCAAATTTGCTGTCAGCTGAACAGTTGAAGAACAGTAGAGTGCAGTTTCAGGACACCGGCGATGAAACGCTTCTTGTATCTGCTGAGGGAGCTGTTTTCGGTCGTGCGCACTACACCGGCCGTGTCCTCTGCACCGACCTCCGTCCGTGTTCGTCGCTGCCCAGCTCTACCCTCCCACCTGTGTACCCGCGTGTGGTACCTGTCACCAAACCGTCCACCTCCTCGCCAGCTGTCGTCACTTCTCCGCTACCGGCTGCGGAAAGCCTCTTCCATCCCGCCGCCGACACCCTGTCCACGTTGACCGACGACGATGAGGGGAGACCTGACGAGCTACCTTCGGCGCCACGCATCGGCATCATCAACGGTCGACTTGCCGGATCTCCTGAGGTTGGCGCGCCTGGTATGCAGATACCAGCGTCTGGTATGCAGAAACCGGCAGGGGAGCAAGTGACAGGAGCAGGTGACAGGGCAGCAGTTGACAGGGGAGCAGACCAGCGACAGCTCATCGAGCGACGTTGTGGAGGTCATCGGCAAAGCTGCAGGGGAGTCGTCTGGAGACAGTTCTTCGAGCGATGTGGTGGAAATCAAGCTGCCGACACGGCACTCCACCCGCTCCAACTTTGGCGTGCCTCCAACGAGATGGGCCGATGTGTGCCCGGTATTCGCTAATACGCTTCTTGATGACGCAAAAACGGATACAATGCAGCCTTTACTGGATCCCGATAAGCACGCTGACCCTGAACGCCGATGGGATATCGCGTCAATGACCGTCAAGGAAGCGCTTACGTACATCCCGACTAGCAAGCAACCCGCGGATTATTCCACGAAGGCGGTGCATTCCCCGGCATTTAAGCGCTGCTCGATCACCATTGGGCAAGTCGATCTTGCAGATGACGAGCTTGACAATGTGCAGGAATAGGTGCCATGTCCTTCAATATGGCTGGTGCAGTGAGTATGCGTGTGCGGAAAACACGCGGACGAGTTTCATAATTGTCACCCTGTTGTACTCTATTATTTCCTTTCGCTTTGTGTGGTGTGCAGGCACGAGCAGGGCAGGGGAGTGTTAAGGCGAAGCCCTGCACGTGCCCGGTTTCGCGTATAGCAGTCCTATGCGGAGCAGCAAGACTTTGCATACCGCATACTGGTGTTGCAGTATTCGCCGAATACAATCCAAAAGTGTACTTCGGTATGCAATGTTCAACACTGAACCGAATTGGAGGGAAGTGACGACATTGCACAAACGAGTATGTGCAACTGTCTGTTGCGAGCACCTGCGCAACTACTCCTGGGCAGGTAGAAAATGCACCTGACGGTATTTTCACCTGATGGCATTTTCACCTGGCAGTGCCAACCTGGAACCGCATAGTAGAGTAGGTGCTTGCACGTTCTCCTTGAACAACGTTCTTCATGAACAACGTTCTCGTAGAACGTTCTCGCACATGTCACTATGATTCCTATAAGGTTCATGTTGTATCTGTTGTAATCTATCAATTAATCAATTTCTTTCTTTCGTTACTGGATACCAAGCTTGTTGCTGCATACCAAGCATACAATTTTCTCAATACCAGTAGCCCGTTCCCAACAAGTCCGTATCACAAACCTCGCACTTCACTCTCAGATCGTGCAAACTCTGCGCCTAGGCTCTCCCACAATCGCCTATTTTCTGCACAGGTTTGGCGATCGGAAAGCCGGAGGCGACGCGAGGCAGCCTCGGCATCATAAGTGTAGGCCGAACGTGCAAAGTCAGAAATGTCGGGGTTGTACGCGTAGCAGTCAACCCCGGTAAGCAATAGGAAAAATTCTTTGCACATGCGGTATTGTGTATTGTTTTTTTTCTTATATGAGCTATACACCAGTACAGAAGTGTACAACGCATAAACAGTCGTAACTGTGCGTGAGTAGCAGGGGAGCCTACCTCAGAGAATCTGATCCCTACACGCGGATCCGGGGCCTGTGTGGCTTACCCCAAAGTGTTGCGAAACTGCTCGTTCAATGCCAAGTCTTGCCCTCCACCACCCGAATGCGGTTCAGGAGGCGATGTTCTTGTTCCGCCATTACATGCCACCTGGATTGCTGCTTCTTCCCATTGTGCTGCAATTTACTCGCCAAGGCCTGTACGTAAATGTTCATATGTATGCGCAGGGCCGTTTCAATCTTCCGCACTACCCGTCTCGCGCGGAATTTGCAACCGCGGAAGGCCCCCCTACAACGTTCTGCCCACAACTGATGTAGAGCGATGCCTATCAGGGATGCCTCCGAAAACTCTGACGTGGATCCTGCTTTCCCGAACAGCTAGTCACCAAGCGACACCGCACAGACCACCACTTGAATCTTTGGGCATTCAGAAAAACAGTGCTCCAGTGTTTCAAAGCTGTCACAATAAGGGCACACCAGTCCGTGTTAAGAAGTTGAGGCAAGAATGAATGCATTGAAACAGAACTGGGTACAAGTACTAACCCTAGAGTTGGGTTGTACCCCTTATGGGCTACCCCACTACAGCCTAGACAATATAAACATGCAACATTATAGTTTGACACACCCCCATAGGCAAAGTGGGGGAGAACAGGAGGTCACAAGACCAGTCAAGAAAAGCAAAGCAAGCTCAGGGTGGATCACGACGCCACCGCACACTCCGAGCACAAGCACAAAGGCCACATGGCCAGTTCACATGCATAGTTATATAAGAGAGAACAAACATTACAATGATCACTGCCTAACAAGTGTAAGCATGCAGGTATATATAAAGATCACAGTACAAGCAAGGTCAAGCAGTGAGCAAGTGAGAGAACGTAGGCACGAGGCCTAGAGCAGTGCAGTGCCGCTGATGATCACTAGGCGGAAGTGCCTTGGTGAATATATCAGCAGTGTTGGCCCGCGTGTCCATATAAGCAAGACAAAGCTGGCCACGCTGCTGCAACTCTCGAGCAAGAAAGTAACGCAGAGCTATGTGCTTCGTTCTGTGCTCCAGTCTGTGCTCCTGACACATGGAAGGGCTGCCTTGTTGTCGCCGTACAGAACTGGAGGAGAACGAGGCCGCTCTCCCAAGTCAGTCAGCAGGTAGGTGAGCCAGCGTAACTCTTGTGCAGCCATGGCTGTGGCGTAGATCTCAGCCTCACAACTGGAGCTGAGAACAGAAGAAGAGCGAGTAGACCGCCAAGAGACAGAGTCGGAACCAAGGCTGAACGTGTAACCCTGTGACGACCACTGCGTAGCCAGGTCGTCAACCCAAGAGGCGTCTGAGTGTCTAGTGAGGACAACATCACCCCGTCCTCCAAGCACCAGCCCCATGCCTGATGTACATCACAAGTAGCGCAGCACCCTCTTAGCAGCCTCCCAGTGCTCTCGTCGGTGTCTCCCAGGCGCAACGTAGCGAGCTAGGATGCTAAGAGGGTACGCAAGGTCAGGTCGAGTGCAGGTCATCAGGTACATGAGGCAGCCCACAAGCTCTGGGTACGGGCCACTCGACTCTACGGACTCGTCTGAAGGTGGAGCTGAGAGCGAGTGACCTGTAGCCAGAAGAGTGGACTGTGGCGAGGACCAAGTGAAGCCGAAGCGCTGAAGGACCTGCTGCACCATGTGTCACTGAGTCAGGGTAATGGTGCGGCGTGCTCTGTCCCGGGTGATCTGCAAGCCAAGGTAGCTCCGCAGCTCACCCAAGTCTGTGCACGTGTGTCTCTTCTGCAGCTTCGACTTCACAAGGGCGAGTGCCTCAGTGTCAGTAGTGGCAAAGACCAAGTCGTCGACATACACGAGGATGTAGAACGGCGGCAGCGAAGTGTCGGTGCGAAGAAACAACGACGGGTCAGCAGTGGACGGAGCAAACCCAAGAGCCGCAAGTGTCGTCCTCAGTGTGTCGTGCCACTCACGAGGCGCCTGGCGGAGACCATAGACTGGCCGCCGGAGGCTCCACTGGGTACCAGGAGGGAACGACCTAGTGAAGCCAGGTGGGCGGCGCAGCCAAATCTCCTCGTGCAGGCTGCCCTGCAAGAACGTTGTGCTGAAGTCAAGAGAGTGAAGCTCGTAGTCACGCTGAGCGGCAACGTGCAGCAGTACCCGAAGAGTGGTCATCTTTGGGGTAGGGGAGAAGGTCTGGAAGAAGTCAACTCCCTGCCGCTGACTGAAGCCTCGTGCAACGTAACGAGCTTTGAAGACAGGCGGAGAACCCGGCGGCCGCTTCACCCTGAAAATCCACATGCCATCGACTATGTTCGCTCCAGGAGGGGGAACTGCGTCGACGTAGGTGCCTGTGGACTTCCAGGATGCCATCTTTGCGTCCATGGCTGTCTGCCACTGAGAGAAGTAGGGACCCGTAATCGCCTCTGCCCTCTTTGGGTCGGGATGTCCAGTGCATCCGGGTCTCCCTCAGGTGCAAGCAGCCAGGCCACGAGATGAGGTACAGCAGCCGCAAGAGACTCAAAGTCCTCGTGCCTGTCCTCAAGGACGTCCGTGCGAAGAGCACACTCACCCCCGACGAACGGAGGACAGACAGACGCAGACTCAGCAACAAGACTGGCGGCGTAGTCTAGACGACAGGCAGCAGCAAAGTCGACAAGCTCAGCAACTAAGGCAGACGCAGCAGTAGACTCAAATGACGGGTCAGTGACGACCGTAGCCAGAAGACGCGTGACTGTGGGGCTAGCAGCACGAAGACGATCAGTCTCATGGTCAGGAAGCTCAGGAAGAGAGGACGTAGGAGGAGACGGCAGCGGGACGTGCTGGGGAGCAGAGGAGGGACGAAGTGCCATAGTGTGAGTACCTGGCACAGGAGGAGGACGCGGACGCGGGACACGACGAGCGGTGCGAACAGCGCGAACAGGGGAGGCAGGACGAGACGACTGCTGGCTCACGACGCTCTGTAAGGGAGACCGGCTGCTCAGTGTAACGAGGCGGGGCAGGCAGCGGCGAGTCAGGAGGAAGGGCAGTGGACGAAGGAAGACTAAGAACTTGGTGGAGGACCGACTCAGGCGGAAGCTCAGACAGGTGCGGCGGCGGCTCGAAGAACAGTCGCTGCTGCACAGGCTCTCTAACTCCAGTTCCTCCAGCGCCTGCACCGCCAGCTCCAGTAGTGCCAGCTTGAGCGCCTCCAGCTCCAGTGTCTCTGGCTCCAGCGCCTCCACCGTCAGCGCCTCCAGCTCCAGCGCCTCCAGCTTCAGCGTCTCCAGCTCCAGTGCCTCCAGCGCCAGCGCCTCCAGCTCCAGCGCCTCCAGCTCCAGTGTCTCCAGCTCCAGCGCCTCCAGCTCTAGCACCTCCAGCTCCAGCGCCTCCAGCTCTAGTGCCTCCAGCCGCAGTGCCTCCAACCCCAGCGCCCCCAGCTCCAGTAGCGCTGCGCCGGAGGCGAGTGCGCTGAGCTAGCCACTCGCGCAGCTGCTGTGGTGAGAGGGGCTCCCGCTGGGGAGACCGCTGAGGTGAGGCACCTGGAAGACTACAAGTAGACCCAGCTCCACCAGGCTCAGCACCCCCAGAAGCAGCACCCCCAGGCTCAGTACTCCCAAGCTAAGCACCACCAGGCTCAGCACCCCCAAGCTCAGCACCCCCAGGCTCAGCACCCCCAGAAGCAGCACCCCCAGGCTCAGCACCCCCAGGCTCAGCACCCCGAGCAGCACCACCCCCAGCAGCACCTGAGTCACCAGTGACCTCGACAGGCTCAGCTAAGGGAAGTGGGTCTACCTAAGAGATACCTGAAGGAGCAGGACCCTGAGGGGGGAGGGGGTCTACCGGAGGGGGACCTGGAGCGAGGAAGAGCGGCGGGGGGGGGGGGGGGGGAGAGGGGCAGTGCGGTAGGGGAAAAGCCGGTAAAAAGGAATCGGCTCGTCCAATGTGACGTCCTGAGAGGGGAAGACACGGCGCGAGGTGGGGTGGTAAAACTGCCAGCCAGACGCGTCAGGGGGAAAGCCAAGGAAGACGTAGGGAATGGCGCAAGAGAAGAGCTTGCCCGCGGTGGAATCGCGGACAAAGGCACAGGAACCCCAGACCCGGAACGCGGACGCATCGCCACCATTCCCCGTCCAACAAAGTGTAGGCGAGGTCTCCGGCAAGGAGACATGGGGCCAGAGGTTGAGCTGATGCGCCGCGTACCGGACCGCAAACGGCCACAGAAAATGGGGAGCAGCCGCATGGATCATGGAGGTATGAGCCGTTGCTGCTGCTGCCACTGAACTGTGCCAGAGCGATCACCACCGCCGCTGCCGCCTGCATTCCCTCCGCTGCCACCACTCCCGCCACTACCGCTCCCACTGCCACCACGACCACTGCCACCACCACCCCCGCCGCCGCCGCTACCTCCGCTGCCTGCGCCCCCACTCGCCCCACCACTCCCACCGCCACCTCCACCACCTCCGCCTCCCCAACCACCTCCACCACCACCCCCCCCTCCGCCACCCCCACCACCCTTGCCCCCTTTGCCCTTGCCGCTGCGGCGCTTCCCACTAGGAGCAGAAGCGGCACCGACCTCCTCAGCACCAAGGAAGTCGACAGCAGCGGCAGAGGCAACAGAGGGGGCGAGGGGGGAGGGGGAGCACCCCTCAAAGAAGGGCGTGCGAGGGGTGCCACGGGTAGCACCTACAGCGACAATGTTCGCTTCAGCTGCAAGAAGGTGCTTCCCTAGCAAGTCATTAGTGAGGTCTGTAGGGGGGAGAGCGAGGAGGGTATCCCGGACTGCACTAAGAGAGTCAAAGAGGCGTGTCACTATGAAGTGGAGAGTGATATAGATCGGGGGCTCGTTCTTGGGCAGGAACTCGGCAGGGAGGGCAGCACGGTAACGAGCGTCCATAGCGCGAAGGTGGGAGAGAAGATCGTCTACAGTGGCTAAGGAGGAGAGGTCAGGGAAAAGGTAGGGAAGGAAAAGGCGGGTAAGCGCTGAAGTGGCAGGGGAAGAGTAGCGGGCAACTACAGCGTCGTACAGGGCCTTAGCAGTCATGGCCTGGTAAAAATGCTTGCATTCAGCTACCGGTAGGTGGTTGCGAATGGCTAGGCGGGCAGCAGCGGCATCGCGAGTAAGCCACTGTGAGCGAGTCGTCGCGTCAGCTGAGGCTGGTGGGGCAGTGGAGGCACCAGTCGCTAGGTCATAGAGCGAAACACCGTCCCTAGCGTCGCTCAGTAGGTACAGCTGCAGGTCCTGGAGCCAGGTGTCGAATTTGATTGGACGGCCGTCAGGATCAAAGGAGAGAACGCGCAGGGTGGCCATAATTGAGCAGCATAGTGGCAGCACAAGGGCAGGGCGCAGGCTGCAAGGGCGGCGCAAGGGTCAGGGAAGCGGCAGCGCGAGGGCTGCAGGGGCCGGGCGCAGGCTGCAAGGGCGGCGCAAGAGGTGGGGCAGGGGGCAGCGCGAGGGCTGAGGAAGCTTCGCGCGGGGCAGCTAGGTTGCGCGGGCTGCCGGGGCGTGCGCACGGGGCAGGGAAGTGGCACGCGGGGCAGTCAGGGGCCGCGAGTTGCAGGGAAGCGCAGCGTGCGGGCTTCTGGGGCGGCGCGCGCAGCTGCTAAGGGGCCGCGAGGGGCAAGCGGGGCAGCGCGCGGGCTGCTGGGGCGGCGCGTGTGGCTGCTAAGGGGCCGCGAGGGGTAGGCGGGGCAGCGCGCGTGCTGCTGGGGCGGCGCGCGGGGCTGCTAAGGGGCCGCAAGGGGCAGGTGGGGCAGCGCGCGGGCTGCTGGGGCGGCGCGCGTGGCTGCGAATGGGCCGCGAGGGGCAGGCGGGTTAGCGCGCGGGCTGCTAGGGGCTGCGCGCGGGTGGCTAAGGCGACGCGCGCGGCAGCGAGGGGCAGCGCGCGGGCTGCAGGAAAGACGACGCACGGGCTGCAGGGGCGGCGCGTGCGGGAGGTACAGAGCGTGGGGTAGCGTGGTAACCGGTGGGCCCTAAAAGATGAAGTCGCACGACAGTCGAGATGAAGAGGCACGAAGTTTCTTAGGCTGTGATTGTTGTACGACATGGTGTGAAGTGCGCCATTTTCGTGAGGCGATCGACGACGACGAGTACAGCGTCGTTGCCGGACGGCCCAGCTGGCAGCCCCGTGACAAAGTCCATCTTCACCCGTTGCCACGGTCGTTTCGGTGGCTCGAGGGGCTGCAGCAACCGAGCTGGCCGCTGACGTGTCGATTTCATGGCTTGGCACACCCTGCATGAGGACACGTAACGCTGCACGTCGTTAGAGGACCAGGCCAATAGTACTGTCGGTGCAGCATTTTCTGGGTTTTATCCAGAGTTGTGGCACGAAGTTTCTTAGGCTGTGATTGTTGTACGACATGGCGCGAAGTGCGCCATTTTGGTGAGATCCACTGCGTACACGTCGGCTCCAATGGTGACAGCCCATTTCATCGTAATGTCATTGACGTGGACCATTGAAGACTCAGCGAGGTAGCGCGACCTAGTTACCACCGCTTTGCATAGTGCGGTTGCCTGTCGTCCAGTCGATTCATTGGTTGTCGCGTCTCAGCCAATCACGTCCTAGTAAAATGTCGTGTCCATCCAGTGTCGTCGCAAGCATTTCCTGTGTAAACCAGAAATCCCCCCCGCAGCGAACCTTCACTCTCTCCACCTTCTCCCGTATAGCTAGTGGTGTGCCGTCAACTAAACATGCGTCAATCTCCGGTAATCAGCGGCTAAGTGTCAGTTGCAGCTTCTGTGCAATCACGGTATAAACTAAACTGTGACTTGCTTCTCTATCAATACAAATCATCACTTCTACCCCCTGTATTTTCCCGTGAATCAGTATTGGGCAATCTGTCGATGTACCCTCCTTATTCAGCCTAGCCTGATCGATTGCGTGAATCAGTACCGTCACTTGGTGAGGGTCAGTGAGGTTGGGCGAGCACTCAGTCTCGTCAGTAGTGGGCCTGTACTCTACTGACTGTTAGCGTTTCTCTGCCTCCCAGACTCCGTCCCATGCTCTGCTCCACAGCGCCGTAGCTCTGAGCATTCGCTCTTGCGATGGCCCGACCTGTTGCACGCGAAGCAGCGCCCCTTAAACGGCGCAGCATCTGCATTTGTTGCAATGGCGCGTACAGTGGCGTGCTCGGTCAGACCCCGATTACGATGTCTGTAGTAAGACCCCGGCCTCAGACGACGGAAAATGTCGATTTCCTTCGTTAGCGCCAGGATTTCGTTGAAGTTTGAGATCCCACGAAGAAGGATTTCGTGCGAGGTTTACGACTTCAGGCTGTCAACGTAGCAATCTACTCGCCCCGCATTTGTACATGTAGCCGACCTGCTCGCACAACGCGAGAAAACCGCTGGTGCAACCTTGGACCGACCTGAGCTTTCGCCAAGTGCGTAGTGCGCTGAGATTGAAGCCGCGATCGGTTCGAAGCGCGCTCAAAGCCCTGCGCACCACGCGTCCCACGTGCTGTATTGGGCGGTTTCGCAGAACGAACTCCAGGTTACGGCTTGGCCCGCGGGCCTTTGCTCTTGCAATAGTGGCTCGTAGGCGCTTGGCAACGTCACAATGACTCGCCACCAGTCCATGGCGGGGCCCCGCAGTAGCGATATGGCGTAGTGGATCTTCGTTGCATCCGACGTGACGTAGTTCGCATGAAAAACCAACGATTGACGTTCCTCGTGAAAACCCACGATTGAACCATCGGACCTCCACGCTGGCTAGGATCGAAGCAGGGCAGGCGTTGCGGCTTGAGTGGCATTGGCTCACCAATGTCGTCGTTGTTGGCATGTGCGACAATGCTGACGTGGCGTTGAGCTTCGCGAGGTGTGTTTATGCTTGGTGCGGCCTTTGTTCTCTCCATGCCTGGCATTGATTGGGTGGTGCCATTGCTGATTGCGCCTGAGAGCTATCCCACACTATCGTGCTGCGACAGTGTCCCCGATGAGATGACAATCGGCTTTCCCGATTGCACAGATGCATCTGCAGGTGCTGGTGCATTTGCCTTAGATTGCTGTTGCACGGAGTCGCGTTCCACCGTGAGCATCGCGATCTCGAGCGCAAATTTTTCAAGTTGGCGCAGGAGTTCGTCGAGACGCTCATGCGTCAATGTTGCGAGCTAGACGCGATCGAATGCAGACATGGCGGGAGTGTTGGGCTAGCTCAGCGAGAGCCATAGTCGTGGCTGTGTGTGCTTACGAGAGAGCACACGAGCAGCGATGCTTGGTCGCTGAGGGATGTCTCTCCCCCCCCCCCCCCCCCTCCCCCCCTGCCCCCCCAAAAAAAATGAGATAATGTGGAAGCGAAGGTGTGGGCGCGATCCAAAAAGGGTCGTGGCTCTGGATACCAAGTGTTATGAGTGCAATTGAGCGAGCGAGCGAGAATTGCACTATCGAAGCAAAACAGTACATTGAGCGAAGGAGTGAGCGAAGATTATACGGCAAAGGTAGTGTAGTAACGGTAACGCGAGAAAATGGGGTGCGCTACGGGCCTAGTGCCGAGGTTGGGAAATGTCGAGGCGGAGGTCCGGAGCGCGGGTTACCAACCGAGCCGTAAGGTTGAGTCACGACGTGAATAGTGGCGGGAACAGTGGTCGATACGAGTGTCGCGAGTGGTAACAGTTGTGTACGCGATACGCAGGGGCGTGAAGTAAGGAAAAGGAATTTTCCTTACACATCCTGGAAGAATACTCTGGCTCATCACTGTTGCTAAATTGAAAAACCTGATATCTCAGGGTGAACCAATAAATGAAACAAATCCCAGAGACATCAGTGCTACTCCTAAAAACTACCCTGATTTTCGTTGTAACAGGGAAAAAAAACGCCGATAGAAGTAGGCCTGGTTGGGAAATACGCGATCATGCGTTTACTTCAGCGATTTTTGCTAGACGTGCGGCAATTTCAGGGTGAGATTGTAAAATCTGGAAGTTTCTTTTCAACTGCATGTTGTCAGTGCATCTTTTATTCTGGATTAAAGCTTGATAAACCATAAGCTTTTGGTATTGGGAGTGGCAATCTTTATCTACGAGAGGGCTGACATAAGGCATCTGTTGTGTGGAATCAATGCTCGTATAACGGTGAGAACCAAATCAAACCATAAACATTCTCCTGGCTTATCTTGGTGCGGCATCTGCACGTTGACCAAGTTGACTGCATTGCATTGCATGCAAACCCCGCTAGGGCAGGCGTGACTGCGTGGAATGGCGCCACGATACAATTCCCCTGCTTCACCTGAAGTTCTCGTTTTTTGGGGGGGGTGAC